CACAACACAGGTGACCTGCGTATAGGGAAATGCTGGCTCCGGGCAGGAGAGCGTGCTTGGATCCCAGCGCCGAGGTATGCAGACAGGAACAAGCGTCCACGCTTCACTGACCCAGGCACTTGATATGGACCCCAACCAACGATCGCCGCTCAGCAGCAAGGCCCATGGAGACATAGGCGGCACCAGGCAACAGTTCAAAAAACAAAACACTCCTCCGTAATCAGTTCAAAATAACAGAAGATTCTCCTTGGTAATGAGTTCAGAATAAACACAAGATCTCCCCAATAGTCAGTTCCAAAAATAACAGAAGATACTCCTCGGTAATGAGTTCAAAATAAACATAAGATCTCCCCAATAGTCAGTTCCAAAAATAACAGAAGATACTCCTCGGTAATGAGTTCAAAATAAACATAAGATCTCCCCAATAGTCAGTTCCAAAATAACAGAAGAAAGAAGAAAAAAAAAACGTAAACAAGACAGAGAAACTCACTCAAGTCGACACAGTGGATTACATCAATATGCGAGAGTAGGACGATCTTAGTAGACATCAGGATCCAGGACGTGAAACACGCGAAGTCGCCGGCAGAAGACTGAGAGATCATCTGGTGACGAGGACACACCTGCGCTGTGTTTAAGTATGGTTCAGCTAATTGAGCGCAGGTGTGCCTCGTCGCCAGGAGCGTGCTCCTACAGTGAGCAGGGGTGGAGTCGCTGATAGCCCCGGTATCAGCTGCCGAGGTGCCGGGGACGGCCTGATCCGTGGACGTAACACTTTATGCCAAACACCCAGTTATTCTAGTTCTTCAAGATCTCTCAGCAGCCGTTGACACCGTCGACCATGCACTTTTGCTCTCCCAATTGGAACACCTCGTCGGCCTGAGAGGCGTGATTCTAAACGGGTTTAGCTATTTCCTGTCCAACAGAATCTTTCCTGTCATCATTGATGATTCTTCCTCGACCATAGCCCCTCTTACCTCAGGCGTCCCCCAAGGCTTGATTCTGGCCCTGTTACTCTTTTCTTTATATATGTCACCACTTGGTTCAATCATATCAAGACATAATGTTCATTTTCACTTTTATGCAGATGATCAAATTTACGTGCCGTTGATACAATGCGATTCTAGCTTGCTGGCCCCGCTGCATAATTGTATTCGCGATGTCAAGCAGTGGTTATCGCAGAACTTCCTTCATTTAAATGAGAGCAAGACTGAATACATTGTTTTTAGCTCCGATCCAGCCACCGTTGTATCGACCGTAGGTCCTTCAGCCCCTTCATTCATGGATACTGTAAAAAATCTTGGCGTGATATTTGACAGCGGCCTAAATTTCGATAAGCAGATCAGGACCGTGGTTAAATCTAGCTTTTTTCACCTGAGACTCCTAACAAAGGTAAAGCTCTTCTTATTACACGAAGACTTAGAAAAAGCTATCTATGCTTTTATCACCTCGTGACGTGACTACTGTAATGTCCTCTATGTGGGAATCTCTCAGTCTCTTCTCCGAAAGCTTCAACTGGTCCAGAATGCTGCGGCTCGCCTGTTGTCGAACACCCCCAGGTACGCCCGAATCACCCCCGTTCTTCTCTCGCTACATTGGTTGCCTGTACAGTTTAGAATTGACTTCAAGGTGCTACTATTTGTATTTAAGTCTATAAATGGCCTCGCTCCTCCATACCTGTGTGATCTTCTGTCTATTTATGTTCCGCGCAGAGCTCTGCGCTCCTCAGAACATAAGATAGAGAAAATGATGCCCACGGGCCTTGAGTTTGACACATGTGATGTACGGTATCTCCTATGGAAAGCTATAAATTTATAGATAAAAACAATATAAATATAATATAAATAAGTTTCTTTTTACTGTTTCTGCCTTAAAATTCTGTGTTTTATTTTGTTTAAGTTTTGTTTTAGTAGTGTTTTTTAGCAGTTATACATGTTCTGCTGTGAAGCACTTTGGGCTCCGCTGGAGTTGTAAAGTGCTATATAAATAAAGTTTTATTATTATTATTATATAAAAAAGACAAATGTATGTATATTTGTGTGCGTGTCTGTGTGTGTGTGCATATGAACAGGTACGCAGGCGGCTGACAGCTCACGAGATTGACATAAAAGACTTGGAGACAGCAGTTCGAGGACAGGGGCAGGAGTCACCACAGGAAGAAATTGCTCGCCTGAGGCAGTTACAGGTTGAACCAGAGCTCTACAAGATCGACATCAGCAAAGAGGTCAGATCAGTCAGCTGATGCATTGCTTCCTCATTTCATCTTTCACACTCTGTTCATAACTCAGAGAATTTTTATATCAGAGGTAGGTATATGATGTAAATGTACAGTATATGCTACCGTTCTGCTGAAGACTATGACAAAAATAACGCAAATTGATGATGAAAACTAAACAAAATCTGTAAATCTGAAGAAATGTAAATGTAAATCTGAACTAAATTGACTTTCCTTTACTAAACGACCAAACACGAGGCAAATATCCTGATAAAAATCTTCCTGGCTTTTCATTCTAATACTACGAAAGGTACAATATATTGGTCTGTCAATATATTTGTTTAGTTATACTGTATGTGTGTGGATCACTTAATGAGTATCATATATGTTCTAGCTGATGGCTCCCGACAAGGTTCTGATCCCAGAGCGCTATGTAGAAGTGCAGGATGACACTCCTCTGAGCCCGGAGGAACAGAAGGAGAAGCAGAAGAAGCTGGAGCGGATTAAAACTCTCATTGCCAAATCAAAGTGGGTTTTGACTCACAATTAGTCAGTTCTCTATGCTGTATTTCAAAACATTAAAAACCATTATGAAACCATTATAAACCAATATCTTTTGGTCCCACTTTATATGTACATGAATGCACATACTGTAAAAAGACAAAAATGATGTAAATCTAAATAAGCATGTATTCCTTTACAACAATAAGTGCTTCTGTCTCTAAATTATACCAGTGTGTATGTGGTGATGAAGGAACACGTTGCCAAAAGGTCCTTATATGCAGGTGGTACTGCATAATATTTTTCAGATGTAGCATAATTATTATCTGTGAGTAACAAAACCACCTCTCTTGCATCTCCTTTCATCCACCAATCTACTTGACAGTTTGCAGAACATGGTTCCTCTTTTAGATGGCCCAGTGGAGGGTGGAGCTCCAGTCAGCTCCCAGCAGCAGCTGCAGGAGCAGGAGAAGCGCATTGAGATCTCCTGTGCTCTGGCTGCTGAGGCCTCTCGTCGCAGCCGCATTCTCTCCGGTGAGGACTCTTTCTTACACAGCTGTCATGTCACTGATTGTCTTCAGCTAACTGCTCAACATGATCTGGCAGCCATAGTACAGTACTTACTGTATATCCATAGAAGTCGTTAGACTGCTTTTACTGGGGCACGTGCCCCAGTATTGATCTACTGTTGCCAGTTAAATCACACGTTCAAGTTTTACCAATATCCTGTATTTGGAAGTGGGTTAATTTATATTGATAATAACAGGAAAATAATTGATTTGTTCTAATCCAGAATGTCACAGCAAAATACAAGCTGATGCACAGTGGTCAGGGTTCTCACACCACAGTACACATGTCGTGCACTGTAGCACGCACGCAGCAATCCATGTATTGATACGTGAAACAAAAAAAAAGGAATAGACTGTATGTGATGGGGACTAAGTTTTTAAATAATACCCGATGATCTCAAACATTACTGACTCCTGTAGATGGACATAAGAAAATTCTTTAGAGGAGGCAGAGACCAGGAAGAAGTTCATACAGATGAGGGTGAGAGAGGTAAAAGCTGTAGTTGATCAACAAGCCTACATTAGCTTATTTTCTTAGTGCATAACAATTCAATTCAATTTTATTTGTATACCGCCAAATCACAACAAAAGTCCTCTCAGAACACTTAACAAAGGTATAGACCTTTACTGTATGTATAGACCTGTGTGTTATTATTATATATGACCAAGATGACTGCACGTGTACAGCGCAAGGCTCAGCGTCTCCCCAGATTTTGCAATTTTGCAGTGATTCTCCTGCTAATTTTGTGTCTGTTCGTGCAGAACAACTTCACCTTGATATCCTACACTCGGCAAGAACTTTTGGATATCGGTCTACACCACTCCAACAGCTTTATCTCCAATTTTAGACTCACCCCTGAAATCTCCAGAACACCAGAGCCTATGCACCCAACCTGGCCAGGCGGAAGCGTTCGCAGGTGGCAGCGGGATTGTAAACAAAGGTGTGGAAAGCGTGGAGGAGTTAGAGCTAAGCTAAAGCTAATACCAGACGAGATACGGCTTTGCATCACCAACAGTAAGAGACTTATGGACTGCAATGTTTTCACGAAAACCTGGCTAAACAGCAGCATACCCGACAGTGCTATTGAGCTAGCTGGATGCTACACACTCTGGGCAGGTAGAACAGATGTCTCTGGTAAGACCAGAGGCAGAGGATTGTGCATTTACAGTGCCTTGCGAAAGTATTCGGCCCCCTTGAACTTTGCGACCTTTTGCCACATTTCAGGCTTCAAACATAAAGATATAAAACTGTAAGTTGTTGTGAAGAATCAACAACAAGTGGGACACAATCATGAAGTGGAACGAAATTTATTGGATATTTCAAACTTTTTTAACAAATAAAAAACTGAAAAATTGGGCGTGCAAAATTATTCAGCCCCCTTGAGTTAATACTTTGTAGCGCCACCTTTTGCTGCGATTACAGCTGTAAGTCACTTGGGGTATGTCTCTATCAGTTTTGCACATCGAGAGACTGAAATATTTGCCCATTCCTCCTTGCAAAACAGCTCGAGCTCAGTGAGGTTGGATGGAGAGCATTTGTGAACAGCAGTTTTCAGTTCTTTCCAAAGATTCTCGATTGGATTGAGGTCTGGACTTTGACTTGGCCATTCTAACACCTGGATATGTTTAGTTTTGAACCATTCCATTGTAGATTTTGCTTTATGTTTTGGATCATTGTCTTGTTGGAAGACAAATCTCCGTCCCAGTACTCAGGTCTTTTGCAGACTCCATCAGGTTTCCTTCCAGAATGGTCCTGTATTTGGCTCCATCCATCTTCCCATCAAGTTTAACCATCTTCCCTGTCCCTGCTGAAGAAAAGCAGGCCCAAACCATGATGCTGCCACCACCATGTTTGACAGTGGGGATGGTGTGTTCAGGGTGATGAGCTGTGTTGCTTTTACGCCAAACATAACGTTTTGCATTGTTGCCAAAAAGTTCGATTTTGGTTTCATCTGACCAGAGCACCTTCTTCCACATGTGTGGTGTGTCTCCCAGGTGGCTTGTGGCAAACTTTAAACGACACTTTTTATGGATATCTTTAAGAAATGGCTTTCTTCTTGCCACTCTTCCATAAAGGCCAGATTTGTGCAGTATACGACTGATTGTTGTCCTATGGACAGAGTCTCCCACCTCAGCTGTAGATCTCTGCAGTTCATCCAGAGTGATCATGGGCCTCTTGGCTGCATCTCTGATCAGTCTTCTCCTTGTATGAGCTGAAAGTTTAGAGGGACGGCCAGGTCTTGGTAGATTTGCAGTGGTCTGATACTCCTTCCATTTCAATATTATCGCTTGCACAGTGCTCCTTGGGATGTTTAAAGCTTGGGAAATCTTTTTGTATCCAAATCCGGCTTTAAACTTCTCCACAACAGTATCTCGGACCTGCCTGGTGTGTTCCTTGTTCTTCATGATGCTCTCTGCGCTTTAAACAGACCTCTGAGACTATCACAGTGCAGGTGCATTTATACGGAGACTTGATTACACACAGGTGGATTCTATTTATCATCATTAGTCATTTAGGTCAACATTGGATCATTCAGAGATCCTCACTGAACTTCTGGAGAGAGTTTGCTGCACTGAAAGTAAAGGGGCTGAATAATTTTGCACGCCCAATTATTCAGTTTTTTATTTGTTAAAAAAGTTTGAAATATCCAATAAATTTCGTTCCACTTCATGATTGTGTCCCACTTGTTGTTGATTCTTCACAAAAAATTACAGTTTTATATCTTTATGTTTGAAGCCTGAAATGTGGCAAAAGGTCGCAAAGTTCAAGGGGGCCGAATACTTTCGCAAGGCACTGTAAAAATTACTGCAGGTAGTGCAATGTAGGCCTAACTTCACAAAGGTTTATTCAGCTACTGTACAATGCTGACAAAATACTAAAGTACAGCTAAAGCTTATATATGTACCACCAGCATGTTTCCTGCCACACTAGAAGAAATAAAACTCTGGACCATGTTTACACAAACATGGCTTCTGCATACAAGGGGACCCCCTTCCCCCACTTGGGACAGTCGGATCACCTTTCTTTGTTCCTCATTCCCAAGTACTCACTACTCATCCACTGTGTGAAGCCATCAACAAGGATCATCAAAGTGTGGCCAGAGGGGACAGACTATACTACAGGACAGGTTTCACCACACGGACCAGAGTATGTTTGCCTCCTGGGCTACCTGTGACTATCACATGGACATCGACACCTACACTTCCTCTGTGCTGGACTTTATTACCACTACCATTGATAGTGTCACAACCCAGAAACAGATCACCACGTACCCAAATCGGAAGCTGTGGATGAACAAGGAGGTGCAGCTCCTGCTGAAGGCATGCAACTCTGCCTTCAGATCTGGTGATGCACAGGCCTCCTACAGCTTGTCCAGGGCCAACCTGAAGATGAGCATCAAGAAGGCCAAGCACCACTACAAGCTAAAGGTTGAGGAACACTTCACAAACTCTGACCCCCGATGTATGTGGAAGGGCATCCAGGTCATCAGTGACTACAAGCCCAGCAACTCCACCCCAACAACCACAGATGTCTCCTTCCTCAATTAGCTAAGTGACTTCTATGCTTACTTCGATCAGGACAACAAGGAGACAGCTATCAAGTCCAGACCCTCTGCAGACCACCACTGCCCCACTGACATGTATGCTGCTTTGAGCCAGATCAACGTATGCAAGGCTGC